GGGAGGCTGAGAGGAGGCGGAAACTTTTTTTTTCCCATTCTCAATAAAATAAAAAAAATTAAAAAAAAAGAATATATTCACTTTGCTACACAAGTTATACCATGTTGAACTCAAAATGGGGAATTAATGAGGGTGTATTGACACTCCCAGAAGGAAAGTTTTGTTTGAGATTGTATGACTGTGGGAGAATACTCTACATATTTCTGACAGTAATAAACACCTATACATATCCTCAGACTTTATTGTACTCATTTTTAGTGTGAAATCTGTTCCTTTCCCACAACTCTTGAAAGGGTCTGGGATGCTATTAAATTGTTTAGAAAACAAATATATCAGAATCTGTGGAGACTTGGCTTACCTGTGCAGAAATCATTGCAAGTAAGTCATTGTGTAGCAGACTCTTGCTACACCTGCAAGAGAAGAAAGCTGACTGTTCAAGAGTGACAAGGATGGAGAGTGCAGACTGGGTGATCACAATATACCTAGTGGCCCCTTAAATAGCAGAAAGAAAAGGTTATGTATAAACTTAATGATACTTTAAAATAATTTTTCTTCATCATTTATCTCATAATTATCCTATTCAAGACTTTCTTTCATAATCTAAAATGTTCAACATGAAAGACATATGTAAAGGGAGCATGGAGCCACCCTAGAAATCACCTGGACTGTCCATTTTGGTACTTGTCAGAGTTGGTACAAGCGCATGGTTTCTCTCTCTTTTACCCTCTAAACTTTATTACAGGCGCATTCCTGAAGAACAAGACTAATAGTCTCACATGTGGAAAGAACATGCATTTGAATCATCAGAGCCCCAGGAAACCCCATTCCTCTGCATTCTTCTCTATCATAGTTTCTCTCCATATCAGTAATCCAGAGAACAATCAGCCACAGCAGCTGAGCAGGGAACCTCATCTTGAGAATTCATTATGAAGAGTCCTATATAGTTAAGATAGAAAGACGGGTTAGTTTGTTCCTGTACTTACAAGAATTGGTCCTCCATAGGAATCAGAGCAATATATAAATCCTATAGTTGGTACAGCTATGTGTAAAATGCTATGTAGTGAGTGCCTTTAAAGTCTAATCTTAAACGTGAAATGACATAAATGTTTATTTTGATTGTAATAAACTAGCTACAGCCCATGATATCTATAGCAGGAGGCAGTTGGTCTCTGTTGTGAAAAGCTTCTTTTCTCTGAATGGACACATTCATGATCTGTGAGGCAAGGGTATGCCAAGATAGTACTGCAAACCTAAATTTCATGCTGGTCTGTGTCCTGGTCAGCACTTGGGAAGAGAATGGGCAGCCTCTTCAGGCTATTCTGAAGAAGGACTGAAAATATGCCCTAGTAGTATTATTGTCAAAGAGGTTTCAGATAGTTGAATGGGGTCTTTGAATTAGAGTAAAGACACTCAAGGGTATAAGGACAAACAAGAAAAGGATAAAAAGTGAGTAAATGAAAACCTTGTCTTTTGCAGTGAAACCTAAAGGCCTTCAATGCAACAAGATGAAATGAGAACATGTTTTTCCTTAGAATATGAATATGAAAGTTAATTATCACAAAGTAAACAATCTATTGTCAATAAATATTCTTTCACAAAATAACATTGCCTGGGTATGTCATGTCTCACAAGGTCAATACATTTGCTATCAAACATGACAAGCAAAGTTTGATTTCCAGAACTCATAAAATCAACTACCACAAATGTCCTATGAGTATTCTTGTATTATGCTAGGCATGCACACACACACACACACACACACACACACACACACACACACATACACACTAAAGAAA